AGGGACCAGTCACTGGAGAAGGATATCATGTTTGTTAAGGTGGAGGGTCAGAGAAAAAGAGGAAGATCCCCAATGAGATGGATTGGCCAAGTGGCAGCATCAATGGGTTCAAGTGTGGCAACGACAGTGAGGTTGGCCCAGGATCGGGCAGTGTTTCATTCTGTTGTGCATAGGGTCGCTGTGAGTCGGTACAGACTTGATAACACCTAACAACAACTACCACCAAGACAGAAGGGCTGGGAGTGGAGTGTGCCTTGGACCTGGGTCCCTGCACTGTGAAGCTCCTAGATCCCGGGGGAAGATTGATGCTGAGACACACGGAGAGCTCCAAGGAATCTCCCTGTGTCTCAGACTCTGGGCCTACAGCAGCTGGAAGGAGACAAGACCTTCCCAGAGCCGACACTCTGAGTTCAGACTTCTAGTCTCCTGAACTGTGACAGAATCCATTTCTGTTTGTTAAAGCGCTCCCCTGTTACAGCAGACGGGGAGAACTGAGACACTGGATCACCCACCTCGATCAACCCCCTCCTCCACACCCAGAAGCAATGACTGTGTCCCACTCCATGGATACGGCCAGATTTCCTACGTGAGGTCAGTCTCTGACCAGTTCAACTCGGACTCCGAGGTTCCCCACAGGCTCTGTCTAGAACTGATGAGTGTGATTTTTACTGAACAGGTAGTAGTTAATCTAGTTTTCCAAACTAGAGCTTTTGGGGAAGCTGGCACACAATTTTGGAGGATCATCAGCCAATGCTTAGCGGTTTGAACCCATCAGCCACTTTACAGGAGAACAAGGCAGCCTGCTTCTGTCGAGATGACAGCCTTGGGAAGCCTATGGGGCCGTTCTCCTCTATCCTATATCAGAATCCACTCCACGGGAGTGGGTTTTACTTTCTTTTCAACACGGATTTGAACAGAACAGGAGTACTGAGAACTTTTTGTGTTACATTGGGGGCCATTTCCATTTATGGTTACCCCATGTGTTACACACTAGAGCTGCCCACTGGGTTATCTAAGCTATAATCTTTTCAGAGACAGAACACCAGGTCTTTCTTCCCTAGAGCTGCTGAGAAATAGCAGGAGCTGTAGATTCTAATTTATATCAAATGTGCTTGAAGGACACACACTTAGCAGAAGGAAGAGCTAACATCTTGATTTCAAGACTCTGCAAACACAAGCAGCAGCTCTGAACTCTTGACCTTGTGAAAAACAAACAGAAATCTTAACCACAATACAGATGGAGGATAGGGATGATGTGGGGATTACCTCCACAAACAACTGCTTCCTTTGGCAGAAGACTGGAAGAAGGGTACCCAGCTAGCACTGCTGAACATTTGATCAGAGGTTGTAGATACAAGAATCCTGATGTAAAAGAGAATTTCAAATGCTCATAGACTCCAGACTTCCTGCAGCCAGGAAGACTGGATGAACTAATGCCTGAAACCATTGTGCTGAGTTAACAGTTATTAAACGATTGCACTGTAAATCTTAAGTCACAAATTTTCCTTGCAGTCTTCTTAAAACTAAACGATAATTTAGGTTAACTAGGTAAAAAATGGGCTAATGCTTCAGAATGCAAAGTCGTTTGAACTGCAAGGTTTGTAGTTCAAGCCCACCAGTTGCTTCTTGGAAACCCTATACAGGGTCGGAATCGACTTGACGGCACTCAACAACAACAAGGTAAAAAATAGTTTTAGTAACGCAGTGGTTACAAGTCGAACTGCTAACCTCAAGGTCAGCAGTTTGAAACGATCAGCCGTTCTGTGGGAAGAAGATGAGGCTTTCTGCTCCCGTAAAGATTTACAGCCTCAGAAACCCTATGTAGGGTCCAGTCCCTCTGAGTTGGAACTGACTCCATGGCACACCCCCACCACCGCCATGCAGTTACAAAATGTCTGCGTTGAGCATTGTGCTCTTTGAAGAACCATCTATATGTCAAATGACCAACAGTAACTGGAAAGGGATGAGTTTATGTTCCCGGGGTGAGAACAAGTCAGAAGAGGAAGGTGAGAACACCACACAACTGGTAGAACAGCACATGTCGAAACTGTTGAAATGGTGTATGCTTTCTTGTTTATAGCCTCAACAGCACCAAAACAAGTACATTTTGTTTTAAAAAAGCAAAACACGAAAACTCAGGGTTATAGTTGTCTCCTTGGAACTAGTCATTCTAAGAGTACAGGAATGCTAGCTTCAAGGTATGCGGTTCAAACGCACCAGCTGCTACACAGAAACCCTACACAGAGTTGCTAGGAGTTGGAGCTCTGGCAGCGTAGTGGTTACTAACCGGGCTGCTAATCTCAGGGTCAGCAGTTCAAAACTACCAGCTGTTCCGCGGGAGAAAGATGAGGCTTTCTGCTCCTGTAAAGATTTACAGCCTTGGAAACCCTGTGCAGGGTCGCTATGGGTCGGAACCGACTCCAGGGCACATAACAACAACAGAAATGGGGCTGTTTCCCTAGCGCCCACGATGGCTGTAACAATGGCTCCCTAGTTAGTAAACTCTTCTTCCTACCCCTGTTCTCTGCTTTCTATCTCATTAGACAAGTTTTGAACTACAGACCCTCGGTCTTACTGCCCCTGCAGGCAAATGACTGGGTCATCTGAAAGAACACAGCTCAGTTACCAAGGGGCGGGCTCTGTTTGGAATCAGCCAATCCCAAGGGGGTGTGACCCTGGAAAAAAAAACGCTACAGCGGGAACCCCCGATGGAAGCCCTAATGGCCGCATCATGTGCACGTGATCAAGCGGCTCTCACCGGAATCATGCGGACGCCGGGGTGGGCGGCCCCCTCCCTGGGCCAGGCGCCCAGGGGGACCACAGCGGGGTTCCTGCGCGGGGCCAGCAGCGACGACAGGAAGTGGACGTTGTAGGCAGGCGGCGGGGCCCGGGCGAGCAGCGAGTCCTCCATGGGGTTGAGCTCGGGGAGCCCCGGGAACTCGGCCAGGGCCTTGGGGGCATCAGGCCCGCCCCCCACCAGCTCCCCCTTGACTAGGGGGTCGGTGCCTGGAGGGGCGTGGAGCGCCCGCAGCAGCGGCTCTTTGGGGTCAGCACTTAGGTAGACATCTTTGAACACGTGGAAGTCTTCGTCCCCGCACGGGACCACCGCTGGGGGCTGCAGGGCCACGTGGTCAGCCGCGAACAGCTCCGGCCCCAGCTCGTCCCCGGGACACGGCAGCGCGCCCAGCACTGGGGCCTCGTCCATGTCCACAGAAGGGCCCGCGGGCGGCCCGAGCCCACCGGGAACCGCACCTGCAACCACGTGGCGGGTTAGGGGTGCGCGAACCCCGCTGCTGGAAAGGATCCCGCCTCCCTCGAGGGTGAAGGGGTGGACAGGAGACCACTGCCCCGGAGAAGATAAAGTCCCACCCTCCCAGGTGATCTGGGGTCCCACAGCCCCCCACCAAAAGACTGGGACTCACGCACCTTCTCCCCAGATGACCAGGGAGTCCGCTCCTCCCAACATGCCGGGGTCCCTGGCACCCTCCTCTGCAGATTCTGAGGAGGGGACTGGGGGTCGCTGGAGGCCGGGGGAGGTTGAGGATGTAGATACCGTAGGGGTGTCTCGTCAGGGGAGCTACCTGGGCCACAGAGAGTTGGCACACGAGCGACCCCTGACTGAGAAGCTGTTGACCGTTGGGGAATGGGCGGGGATATGGGCGGGGCACACTAAAAGGGGCGTGGCCTGAGGGGGAAGGGCTGGGGATGAGGAAGAGGAGACCGGGATAGTTGAATGTTGGGAGGGGTTGGCCTATAGGGATCATGGCTCAGAACCTAGGGGAGGGGCATTCAGTGAGAAAGGCGGAGACAGGCTTAAGGTCCCCGCGTGTGGACCAGCAGTGCGCAGCTGTACAGAGCAGGGTGGGGCCAGATGTAGGGGCGGGGCTTGTGAGGAGCAGGGCGGGGTCAGACCTAGGGCATGTTGTTGTTGTCAGGTGCCATCGAGTCGGAACCGACTCATAGCGACCCCACGCACAGCAGAACGAAACAATGGGCATAGCACGGGGAAAACGGCATGGTCAGAGTAGCGGGTTGGCCCAGAAGAGCAGAACATGATGAGAACCAGGGTGTGGCCAGGGTGGGAGGAGAATGAGGCGGGATCAGAGGAAGAGGTGTGTCAGAGGAATGGGGCAGAATCGGGCTTTAGCACGGGTTTAATGCTGTGGAGTCGGTTAGGACTCATAGTGACCCTGTATAGGGTTTCCAAGGAGCAGCTAGTGGGTTTGAACTGTCCACCTTGAGGTTCAACCCAACCTTGCTGTCCAGTGCGTTATCCTGCATCGCCACATCAGGACCAGGGCAATTCAAGAAGGGTGTACCCCAGAGATGGGAGCTACGAGGGGGAGCTCATGGAGACTGGGCTGGGGCCAAGGCAGGGCACCAGGGACTTGGACCCTCCAGACTCAGCTGGGAAGCACAGAACCCCTGTAGGGCGAGTCCAAGGCAGCACTGGGTGGACCCATCCCAAGGTGACACTTCTGACTTGTGTTTAAAACAGATAGCTTTCAGAAAACAAACAAGATGGCAGATTGGGTGGCAGTGCAGTGAGGAGCTCCGTCAGCAATAACACAGAATACCAAGCAGAGGATGGTCCCAGAACTCTGAACCACATATAAAGGAATATATGTGTATATTTTATATGTGTATAATATATATTTTGTAGCAGAAGCAAGAAATCCATTGCTTTCGAATCCAAGGTGCTCAGCTGCTCCCTGAGTGGCCATCTTGGGTGAGATCGATGGGAGGAAGGAGCAGAGCAGCACAGACACCTGACAGAACCACAGAGATAAAGGTGTGGACATTGTTTTTTTTAAATCTGTTCATTAGTCTCTCGCTGGCTGCGTACCTCTATTTTGGTGACTACAGGGGATGCCTGAGCGAGTGAACACTCCACCCCACCCTTGGAGGGTTCTACTACGCATGCACACAGATATCCTAGAAATTTAAAGTGACAGTTTCCACATAAAACCAAACAGCAGCACAAAACGGCCACAGCGAGCCCTGAACTGTTTATAACTAGGAAAAAGGCCTGAACGGTGATTGTGGAGTTGGACAGGCAGACTTAAAAATAGGCTGAAAATAAAATCATCCTGAGTTACGTCATAACGACCAACAGTGGCATCTTGAAATTTCTTAGGAAGAAAAGTGAAAAAGAAAGCCCATCTCCTGATCACATCTACCTGGAAGCAATCAGAAAGCATAAAAAAATACCAAAGCACACACCCATCTAAGTATTAAGGCCACAGCTAACTACTGAATATTCCCAAAAAACAGAAGCAGATGACCATATCTGCACATG